CCCCCAGGCGGCGGCTGCATGCTGGAGCCAGCCGACAGGCGCCTTGGATGCCGAGGAGGTGGAGGGGGCATTGGCCTGCTAAGGCTCGAAAATTGCTGCCTTCTCTGTCGTGCCTGGACAGTCCGTTCCAGTGCTTCCAAGGCAGCCGAACCGAACAACTCCCCCGGCACCACTGGGACATTACGGAGGGCTCTACGGCATGGCTCAGTCAACGCTGACTGAGCTAACCAGACCTGTCGGCGAGCTTGGACCAAGGAGGACATCACACGCCCAAGCTCCCTCGTCATTAGTGCAAAGGCCTGAAGCGCTGCATCGTTAAAGCCCATCGCTGCTGTCGCACCACTAGTCCCCTGAAGGGACGCGGAGAGGGCAAGCATTAGGTGTGCCAAGGAATTACCTAGGCGGCCAGCACGCGCTCCGGCGGCATAGGCTCTGCAGAGGAATTCATCCGTGACACGACACTGAGCTCGTGGGCACCGAACATGACTGCGCAGAGCTTCATCTGGTGACACGATGAGAGAGGCAACAGCAGGTTCTATCGCTGGCATGCGATCCAAGCCTGCTGCAGCCGGCTCATGCATGGCCGCCAACACTCTGCCATCTGCAGAGAGGCGCGCAAAGGCCTTGGGGTCCCGCCAGCAACCATGCAACTCCCTCAGGAACTCCTCTGATGGAGGGACAGAAAAGGAAGGAGGGGTCAGTCCGCGCCTGAAGAAGGCACTTCCAGGGGTGGACGCCTCTGGTTGCAGGACGTCCAGCTGCAGTTGTCTCAGGGCCATACGCATAATGTCCTGCATCGAGCCGTCACCCGACCCACTAACTGCACTCCGAGAAGAAGAGAGTGAAGCTGTCTCTGAGACTCGAGATGAATGCCCGTCCTCCTCACCTAAAAAGTGAGAGGCAGAGGCAGCCAAGGATAGCACATCCTCCTCCACAGCCAGTTCAGGCATGGGTGGGGAGGAGAGTCCAGTTGCTGCCACTGGTTCAGTTCCCAGTTGGTGTACCTGAAAAAGGGACTTCATCTCCGCTAATTCAGCGGAGAGCTGCTCCACCCTTGTGGAGAGGCCCCTATCAGACCTGGCTCGCTTCTTCCCAGGAGGGGCCACAGAAACTGCGGCCTCAGTCCGGCGCTTCGAGCGCCTAGGTGGAGCCTCCTGCCCAGAAGGCGGGAGGTCATCGCCGAGTTTGGGGCGAAACTGGGCCAGCCGGGCCGCCCTCACAGCATGCGACATGAAGCTGCAATTCATGCAGGGGTTCTCTGACAGGGCATCCACCAGATGGTCATGTCCAAGGCAGGCAGGACACAGGTCGTGACCGTCATCTATCTGGAGCATGGCTCCACAGACTGTACAGCAGTGAGAGCCGTCCATGCTCCTTACCCAGCTATGCCCAAGATATTCAGAGGGGCTAGCACCACTAGCTCAGCTGTTAAAAGAGGACAATTGGGAGAGGGGGCGCGAACGCTCGCCTTCACCAATGAAAACAAGGTTAGAACTCAGAGGCTAGCACCACTAGCTCAACTGGTAAGAGGACAATTGGGAGAGGGGGTGAGAACACTCGCCTTCAC